CAAGTACTAGGGTTTGACCTCAAATCTTATCGAATTTTAAGTAAAGATAATACTTTCAAACTAAACGTATCTGGAAAATAGTACTACAATTAAGATTCTGAACTGAATTATAATGCCTATAATCATTATAATTATGATTATAGGCATCATTATTGTAATTTTAATAAGACCAGAACCTATCCCTGATTTGGTCTTGATAATCAAACCATAATAAATTATGATCAGGATACATTTAAAAATCGGACTAGTTTTTCTTTATCCAGTATGCATCAGGTTTTTAAGTCTGACTATGATAACTATCATAATATGTATTCTGCCCCGGATTAAAAAATAATTGCCGTATCTGTTGTATGAAATTTAAATGACGAATATATAGCCGTTGATTTAATTCACGAGCTCAGAAAATTATACACGTTCCAAATTAGAAGCAAAAAAGGGTTTTGGGATATATCTCTGATAACAGTTTTGCATACGGTCGTAATCAGGGAGTAGTATACCATTTTTTATTGAAAATCTGGCTATTATATCTTACAAGGTCCGAGTTCTAAAAAGATTAAACGTTTGAAAGAAGAGAAAACGTTTGGTACAGTTTTTCACATTATTATCGGTCGAAAACTGCATGGACCGATTAACGCCTTGCTATATTCCATAACTTACCCTTATCAGGTATGGTCACTGTGACGGTTACTCTTAACCAATTTTTAGTCGGAAATGTTCATTAACAAGTTCACTTGCTGTATTACGAGAATGTTAAAAAGAAATTGAAAATTTAATAAACTGATTATAGTTATTGTTCTTAGAATTTGGTACTACTGTTTTTATAGAGTCTTTATATTTATGCATATATTTATTATCTTAACTATAGTTCGTTACATTATTATTACAGAAAAGTTAAACATCTCTGCGATAAATTAAAATAAAATTCACTATTGTTTAAAATCTTTCTATTTAAAATATACTTTCAAAAGCTTTGTAAATTAAATATAGATATTAATTTTTTAATTACAAATATTTTTAGTGTCTACAACTCTCAGTCATTACAATTGGCATATTAGCATTTCTAAGTCAAGTCGGCAGTAGCTTCATGAAAGCATTTGCCTTAAGCAATCTACAAATTTATTTAGCAATCGGGTTTGGGGCACTAAAATCTATGGCTAATCCAATGTGTAGGACGATACTCGCATCAGTCGTACCAGCAGAGGAATTAGGTGAGTTTTGCATTTTAATACTGTAAATATTATTGACGTAGTCATGGAAGAAAGAACTTTGGGCCTCTTTTTTCTAACAAAATGTTATAGAGGTTCACCATTTAAAGAGCCTTTCTCTCTGCTGGGCTTTGGTTGTATACTGATCCCCTTGTCTATATACGAACATCGCTTTTTCCTTGTGGTACCAAAACGGGCCATTATTTGTGCTCAAGTGGGCTTTCTTGGTAAACAAGGCCGCCACTTCAACCTACCTACCTACCTCTCTAAGCCAATGATAAATATATTTACATTTTTAAAAAAAATTTATTATAAAATGATACATTAGATTATAAAATTAATTAAATTTTATTTTTAATTTTAGGCAAAATTTTTGCTTTAAACAGTGTTTTGCAGTCTTTAGTACCATTTGTAGCTTCCCCCATTTACACAATTATTTATAGCATCACATTGGCAACTTTTCCAGGCTTTTTCAATTTAATCAGCGCTTTTATGTTTATTTTAGCAATTGCATTTTTACTGTAAGTATTTAAGTGCTATTATTTTGTTAAATTTATTTAAAATATTTGAATAATTTTCAATAAAAAAATTTATTTGCAGGTTAATTTTGCGTAAACAACAAAGTTTTCCTGCGCATTACGAAACGATATCAACTTAATTATTTTAGATTACTAGAATTATTAGAAATAAAATTACTTTTTTTTATTAATAAATGTTTTTAATTTAATTAAAATTTTATTTTTTGTTTTAATTTAATCCGAATTTCGATTGTTAAATTTTTTTTTGTCAGGTTATTAGAAACACATGTCACGTGCTAATTAAAATGTGATTTCAAGTTTTTGTGAAGTACGAAATTCGAAATTCATTTAAAGTTAAAATAAGTCTTATTCTATTCAAATAATGAGTTTTTAAATAACCTGATATATAATTCTTATATATCGTACTTCTCTATAACAAACTCCATTTTAGCGAAGGCTTTTCTGCAACGAATTTTATTTAAACACTACGTTTTTTCAATTTTAAAGAATCTTTCTATAGGTTCTATAGATAACCTTTCTATATATTTTACATATAACCTTTCTATGTGTTCTACAGAGAAACTTTCTATACATTCTATAGAGAACTTTTCTATACATTCTGTAGAGAACCTTGTTATACGTTCTATAGACAACCTTTTTATATGTTCCGTAGAGAACCTTTCTATACGTTTCGTAGAAGACCTTTCTATACATTCTAAAGAGAAACTTTCTATACGTTCTGTAGACAACCTTTCTATACGTTCTATTGAGAACCTTTCCATACGTTCTATAGAGAGCTTTTCTATTCGTTCTATACAGAACCCTTCTATACGTTCTGCAGACAACCTTTCTATACGTTCTATAAAGAACCTTTCTATACGTTCTAAAGAGAATTTTTCCATACGTTCTATAGAGAACCTTTCTATTCGTTCTATAGAGAACCTTTCTATACGTTCTCCAGAGAAGTTTTCTATACGTTCTGTAGAGAATATTTCTATACGTTCTATGGAGAACCTTTCTATTTGTTCTGTAGAGAACGTTTCTATACGTTCTGTAGAGAACCTTTTTATACGTTATATAGAGAACTTTTCTATAATTATAATCACATTTTTGATTTTATAGATATATTTATAAACATTAAAATTTTTTTAATTCTAAAATATTTAAGATGGTCTAATTCATTATTATAAAGTTTAGAATATTTAAAAAATTTTTTTTTTTTGTAATTTTTCATGTGTTAGAACGTGGATACGAGTTTTAAAAGACTTTTCAATCACTTATTTTGAATACCCTGAAAATTTGGTTACTATTCATACCATTATTTTAATATAACTTATTTTTAAAGAATATCCTCAAAATATTGTTTTGGGATGCTATTTTTCGTTTGTTTAGCTGAAACTTTAGACACCAAACCATTATATTTAGCTTAAATTTTCAATTGTATACTAAATACAACACTACCCCGACTACATTTACGTCTACACCCATTAACTTTAAATAGATAGATTTAGGTAGGTCCACAGAAATAATGAAATCATTTCACATTTCCAGTGAGAAACTAACAAGTCCAATAACAAATTAGAACACCGGTCCCGATTGACACCAACTCGTATAAGTCAGCCATAATATTTATAAATATATCAATGTTTTAGATTCTATTTATATATCTATCTATAATAAAATTTTGATATAATTTTAATATAATCGCTTTTAGTATGTTTTAATGACAGATGAGTAATCATTCAATGTGTCAAACAACATAATTACAACATATCTTAAAAAAATTAGTAATATATTATTAATTATCATCAAATTATTATACCTTAATCCAGAAATTGATGTCTACTAAATTAATAAGTAATTTTATTCCAATTAAACGAAATTTAAATAAATTTGGATGGCACTGCCAGACATTTTAGGTATACTATTTTGATCATCTAAAATCTAAAAAAAAATTTGCAAGTCATTGTATTTTTATTGCTCTGTGAAATTAATTTTTAATATGTATTTTACCTAATTTTTTTACGAACTACCCAAAATTTGTTTAAAAAATTATTAAAATTTATAGTGCGTCTTGTTTGTTTTCTTCGAGAGACAGTGAGTATTGACAAAGTGAAAGAGCCCATGGTTAATATATAAACTGTCTGCAATGTAGAAAGCAAATATAACCCTATTGCCTATTTTATTAGTGATATTGTAGTACATACAATTTTTAAATACATAATTATTATCATTTATATGAATAATATACTCGTTAAAATTCACAGGTTCTTTAAATTAAATTAATTTGCGCAAAAAAAAAAAAAATTGGTTCAGGTTTTAATAATTTAATACATGAGATCATCATTTAATTATATGAGTAAAAAAATTATCTCTTTTAGAAGGGATATATAAAATATTTATAAAAATTGTTAAAATAGGTCAAATTTGCAAATATTTGACTGATCATATTCGTAAAATTCTATACCTTCAAATATTTTATCGGTGAGGTCAGTTTGAAATAATTTAAGATAATTATAAGTGATTTTATTTTATATCAGATTTATAAAAGAAATCTCGATGGTTCCCAAAACAATGTTATGAATGCTGTAGAAATATTGGCTTAAGATAGATACAAAAAACATTTATTTAAACAAAACTTCAAAACGCTTTTTAAAAAATAAATAATAATAATAATAATAAAAACTAAAAGTTCAAAGTTGTTACGAACATTTTACATTGGGTTTTACGATTTTTTAACTAAGATTAGATTGATTGATTTCAAGTAATTTATGGTAATTTTTGATTTGAGGAAGAGAAGGAATCCGTGTTTCATATTCTTTATCAGTGTGGATCTTTGGCCGATGAAGATAAAAACCTTTGGTACCATTTTTTATTGACCTGTCATCCTGTCAAATTAGATACGTGGTCAAGTTCATAGGCTTGCGATGTTAGTATATTCAGCGTTGTTTGTACGCTAATCACTGCACTCCTTTTGTAAATGTTTTGGTCTGGGTATGAACAGCGCCACGTGATGTCAGAACGAGCCATTATTCGAGCTCTAGTGGAATTTGGTGTAGAAGATTACCACTTCAACCTAACCTAACCTATATTATAAATAACATATATTAATTATAACATATATTAACCTATGTAATTTATTAGTAGCATATATCAGCTAGTATTTAACATCACGGATTGTTTTCAATATGAACGGAATGATACCTTTAGTATTCTATGGTGAAAATAGTTGTTGGGGTATTATTCTCAAGTTGTCAGTATTCAACTTACATATTTCGAAAATACAAAAACATAAAAATATAATGATTTACATGTTTTTTTAGATTTGAGATGATTTAAATAGTAAATGTAATGGAAATAGTAAGTAAAGCTAAAAACAATATAATAAATGAACGATTCAAAAGTATCTTAATCATTTCTGTAAAGGTCTTGATATATCTTACTGATTATGTCGATTACGACATGTGAACTATTGTTAAGAGATAGTAAGAAGTTTTAGTCGGAGTTAAAGAACAAAATTGTGGAGTAAGTCAAAAGTCTTCTCGGAGTCTAGTGCAAAGTGATAGTTTTGGATTTAGAGGGAATATAATTAAATCTAAATCGCACTGGTAGATTCAGAGCTTTAAGTTTAGTTTACGCCAACTAAGCTTATGACATATTAATGTTTTTAGATAAAACAAATTAGGTACCAAATATAAAACAATATCTGATTGAATATCTGAATACTGTTTGGAGTAATTAATTGAGATGCGATTTTATTAAGACTTAAGATAATATGATGTCACAAATTTTTATATTCTAGTAAAGTAGCCAGTATAAAATAATAATCTAGTATAAAAAAATAGATTCTTAAACAGCATGTTCTAGAAAAAATCTGTGTTAAAAATAGAGACAAATAAGGTGAAATTTAAAATTCAGTAATGATAGATTTAGAAGTCTATAGCAAAGTGATGGTTAAGGATTGGTATCTTATAGATAATGTATATAGATCTTATTGATAATAAGATAATATCTAGTAATATCTTATTAGATAACTATTAATTTCCATTACTAGAAAAAGCCAAACAAGCTATATAATTAATGGTAGGCTTAGATTCTGTTATATATAAAATCTTTAAACAAAAATTATAATAATGTATGTATACTCATTGACTTTTAATATGTTTCATTGATGTTATAAGTTATAGGTGTTAGGTTTTGTGATCATAAAAGTAATCATCATTAACATCTGGGAGTTATTCCAAAATATTTTTTTAAACATTATTATCTTCTGTTTATCTGTTTATTTATGGTTAATGCGTAAACAATTATTTTGGTTTTCAACTGAATATCTTTATCAAATATTAAATTTATAAATAATTTTTAAATTGGTAAACATACCAACTGGTATTGAATTACACTTCTGGTTATTCCCCAAAAATGTTTAGAAAAAGATAAATTATATCAACATAAAATCCAACAGCTCTTTTAGTCTACAACTAGTTTCGACGAGACACGGTTCAAAGTAACAACAGAGCTCAGCTTTCATTTCAGCTGAGATTCATAGAAAACTATAACTTTTTGTATTAAAATATATACAAACGATTGTGAATAAAAACAAATAAATACTTAAATGTAAAAAAATTAATGCAAATAATTATTGATTTGCCGCACTAGTGAATCCATAACAAACTTATATTAATTTCATACTCACATCCGAACAGATAAAATAATGTATATATACGTACTTCAATAGACGATCTTTGCGCCGATAGAGAACACAATGAAGTTAGTTATTCAATAGTTGTGATTTTTGACGGTTATGTGCGTTTCAGCAGAAGCACAAACTATTCGTGAGTGGAACTTCAATCGGAATGAATAAATTACCAGAGTCCGTTACGTGTCAGCACGGGACTAATTTTTGACAAATTAAATAAATTGAATTTTATAAAATGCAATAAAGATATATGTAATATATAAATCAATTAAACCATTAAAACAAATAGAACAAATGTTATAAGCATTTAAAGTGAGAATAATAAGTTTAGTTCCTGATCTTTAAAAGAATTTATATTTTAAATAAATATATAAATATATAAATAATAACATATATATATAAATCACAGTTTAAAAATGGTGGAAATTGTAAAAAATGTTGGTTTGGAACGCCTGAAAAA